GAGACTCACTGACGATGCCGGCGAAACGTTTGGGAATGTACCGCGTCCATGGTCCGACTTTGGAAATAATACATAATAATAATACAGACAATGGACTCAGGACAAGGTGCGTTTCTATCAGTCTTCCTACCATTATGACCAAGTTGCCAAGGTCAAACAACTTCTATACAACGAAAGGAGACTGCGACCACACAAAAGGCCACACCATCTTGGTCTTTATATCTTCGATAAAAAAATATTGTTTTGAAAATATTAACTTTATGATATAGGGCTTTACTTAGTGGGTAAATTGATTAGAGGCTTTTAAGTATATCGCTCCTTGGTGTTCATGCATACCTTACGACTTGATGTATAGCAACGATTCGGCTCATTGATGAAGGCTTCCTCTCATGCTCTCTTCAACTTAGCATGAAGTTGTCATTAGATTCGCAAGGTTCAGTCAAATCACTTTGCATTTGTGTTAGTTTGGCCTCGTTTTTACAATTTGGTAGGAGCGATAGAGAGACTTTATGGAACGTACCTAGTTCTGCTTCCTTGCCATAGTATTGACGTTAACTTTCAGCGTAAGATAATTTATTTATGTACTCCCAGATGTTTCGTCATCATCTTAGTTGGCAACTGATCAGAATGATTAGTTTTGACAGCCAAGGATGGTGCCATTCACTGCGAAGCGTCTGAGAATGGGCCAAGTAGACGATTTTATATTGGAAGTTATGAATTATGTGAAATGGCTCCAGTCTAGGCACGTTCCGCAATGTCTTTTTGTCTCTCAGACCAAGTTGTGAAAATGAGATCAAACCAATACTATATGCCAAATGAGACTCCGACCAATCCCAAGGCCACGCTATTTTAGTCTTCATAATTATGATTATTTTCCATTAGGTTCACAATTGTTTTAGTTACGTTTTCCTACCTCATTCTATATTGATATCCATATATTTGCTCGTTCACTTTCAAAAATAAACACATTATTTGCAAGACGTGAAATCCAATAACTAAATTTCTATTATTATTTTGTACACAGCTGCTTATAAATTGCCGACTCGTAAATACACTTAAATTAATTCTTTATGAGAAATTCATTCAGGTTTAGGTGTACTTGATGCAACTTAATTAGTCTATTTTACAATACTTTCCCTCTTGCTCTACATTACTATTGTTTCTAACAGACTGTTGAGGCCTGTCACGAGGTACGAAAATTGCTTGACTTTGTCGAAGTCGAAGTTCCTATTTCTCAGCGTATCGTTTCTCGATTGCTTGGATTGCGTTCAAACAACCCGCTTCGCCAGCTAGGTGAATCTGCTGGTGTTCGCCAAGCTTACGTCCTCTTTCCTGCTGACCGAGCTGAGCGTCGGCGCACTTGGCTTGAGCACAGGCGCAATTGCGCTGATTTTCAACGGCCCATGGGACTGGCCAGTAGCAACGAAAGTGATGAGCCACAAACTGATTCCCCTGGCACAGGAGTAGACACTGAGGTTCCCGCTGCACAAAATGATCAAGAAAACCTGGCTCCTCGAGGGAAACATACGAGCCCCACTGTTTTCTCGCGGAGTAGTAGTGCAAAGCAACCTGGTTCTCGCCATTTTACTGAAAAAGATAACGAGTCACCTCTGCCTCACTCGATATTTTTATTAGGTACTAGAACCGCTGTTGAAAGAATGCGATTGCTTCTTGAATTTCAGGCAGATAGTTGGACTGAATTAGAGGAGTTGGAGGTATGTTTTTATTTATATCACTCGATAGTCCTTGTTTCACTTTTTGCAGTTACTCTTTTTTGTCTGAAATTCGCCTTATTATATTGAATTTTAATGGATAAACATTAATGTACCCGATAAACGGCTTTTACTTGTATTATTCTGTTCGTTTATATTTTGCGTGTCTGTTTTACAAATATCTTGTTATATTTCATTAAAGTTATTGAAAATCAAATTCATTCAATTAACGCCAATGCTTTTTGTCTAATTACTTATAGGACCAAAGTGCTATTCCTTTATTAATCATTGATGATTTATGCTAAAGTCTTATCATAACGTCATTTTATATCAGCCTTAAAGGCCGACTTCGATAAGCTAATATAGTTTTTTGTAGTGATATAAAGGGGACCTCAACTAACGTGCCTAGCTCTTGCCTTTACCACTAGTCATGATCATTTATAGTCTCGGATGGTTGACTTAATAAATTTTGAGACGTTTCGCTGGGATCACAAATGAGGAGC